CCAGTAGGTGCCCTGCCCGGGCCAGCTCTGGCCTTTTAAGAAAAAAAAAAAGCCAAGAAAAGCCCCGGGACTTACTAGTCCTGCAGTGCCCTCGGGGCTTCAGGGGCTCGTGCAGAACCCCCACGTGGGGTAGGGCAGCAGGGGCGAAGTGGGGATCGCCCTGTCCCCTCACGGGCAGGAGCGGTGAGTCCGGGGGTTTTTCGGTTTGTTTGTTTTATTCTAAAAGGACCAGAGCTGGCCCAGGTGGGGCACCTATGTGGGGGCTGAGGGAGCGAGGGGCAGGTTGGAGGGCTCATGTAGAGCCCCCCACACAGTGGGGGAGAGTGGGAATCACACCCCGCCCAGGAGCACCCACTGAACCGGGCCTTTTTTTTTAACAAGTGCCAGGAGCTGAGGTAGCCATTGCCGGGCTGGGAGAGAGGCAGGGGATGGACCTGGCTGATTCGGAGATTCGGCCAAATTGAACTGGGACAGTGTTTTGAATCACCAAATCAAATCACTGTCCCCCGAATCAGCCAAATCTGAAACGAATACTAGCCGCTTTCACAGGCCTAATATCCCATACTAGGAAAGCGGTTATCCCCAGAGACTAGGAAAACTGCCTTGGTGGTCACGGTTGGAGAAAATCTTGCTCCCGGTGACATCAGTGGAAGCTATTGTTTGGGTGGCCATGAGAACTTAGGACCTCTTGCTAGTGATGCTTACACTCAAATTTTCATCCCTGAGTCTGAAGGTTTTAAACATCCAAACCATCTCAATATACAGAAAACAACTTTTCTGTCTCTTGTGTCACCAGTTCTTTTGATACAATGGCCTTGCTCTATTTTCTCTAGGCTCCATCAGTGATGTGCTTGGTGACCTCCTTGGAGACGATGGTAAACGCATCTTCCTTGGCATTGAGAAGGAAACTCTGTTTATATTGTAGTCTTTCCATGTGTTTGGGGAACTAGTGAAGGATGCTGGCTCTCTAAACAAAACAAAGCTCTCATCTTATCCACAGAGTAGCTATGCTGTTGGTTACTCCTACAGACAAATTTTCCCTGCCATGCTGTCTCTATCCTGGCCTATAGGCACCCCCTTTAGGGCTGGAAGGACAGCTCACTTTCCATGCAGCCTGTTCAATCTCTAGAGGGTATGAGACAAACTTCTAGAGAGCTCATTAGTGGAAGAAATAGAAAAGGGGCAATAGGCATGCAGAAAAAGGAACAAAAGAAATAATGAAGACCAACTCTGCAGTGTCTAATTGAGCAGTTACAGTGTGGCTGTCCTGACATGAAGAATCAGCATTTTATTTTCTGTAAAACAGAATCCCAGAAGCACACAGCAGTAGGACAAACTTAAGAAGGGAATGTGACCCCAAAGTTATTTGGGAACCACTGGTCCAGGATAAGCTTTCACCCACACATTCCAAACTGCCTGTATCTTGTTTCCAGATGAAATCCCTGTTAGATCTAACAGACCTTCCCAGCCTTCTGGGACCAGTAGAGGGAGACCCAGGGGACCCAGCTCCAGGACCAGCAACAAGTGAGTACATCTGAATTGTGCCATTAAATAGGTGATTGAAGAAGGAGGCCTTGCTCCATGCTGGTCTCTCTGCACCCTGTAAGATGTACAGTCATTTCCCAGGCCTCACTTCCTAGTACTAGTAATTTAGGTTCTGAATTTACAATTATCACTGTGGGGGAATGTTTTTTTAAGGATCAACAAGGGCATTAGGCCCTCTTCCCTCTGCATTTCAGTAGGCATTGGGCAGCTCTCTGCCTTCACACTTCTGGAAATCTCATTCTGAATATTGTTTAGTTAAAAATGATGAGCCATGCTGTGATCTTGATTAACCCCTTGTCTGTTGATGTAGTAAGACTCCTGTAATGGGTTAGGCAGGGAACACTAGAACAATACATAGAAAAAACAGCCATCCAAATACTAGCTTGTCTGAATAAATCCTTCATTTTAGGGGCTTCTTCCAGTCCTCTCCCACTTTAAATGTCAGATGTGCTTCACACACCACAGATGACTTCTGCAGCAACCTCCATCTTGACCTTCTGTGTTGGGAGTAATGAAGTGCAAGAAGAGAAGTGCCTAATCCTCCTGCTTGTCCCTTGCAGATCCCTTTTTGAGGATGACTTTTTCAGCAAGCTGGCAGCTGAGGAAGGTGCAGCTACAGAGGTGAGTGTCCTTCAGGAGAGAGTCCTCATGGTCTCTAGATTTCTAGTGTATGTGAGGCAGAAGGTTGGAGGACAGGCTATGTAGCGAACACAGAGCCAGAGTCATGCATGGTACAACTCCATTGGAGGCAACAGCAGCACACCAGAGATGAATCTGACTGTAGAAATCTCACTGACTGAAGAGCTTTTTCACATGTCCCTCTAATTGTTCTAAAACAGGAATGACATGGGTTGATGATGAGAAAATGAGAAGTAAAAACCTTAAATGAGGCTGATGCTACCAGGGTGACTTGCATGACAATATAGTCTAGTCTGATATAATGTCCTTCAGACAAAGAATCTCCAAACACTTTATAGTGAGAATAAATAAGCAAAAGTGATAGTACTGTTTCCATGAATTAAAGCCAGAGTTCATCAAGGAAATTTCCCCAGATCAAGAGTTTCCCCATAACTGTTTCATTCTCTCAAAGAATTGAAAAATACCCAAGCCTCATGAAAGCATTTGACAAACAGTAGTTAACAAGGATAGTACTCTGAGTAGTGAGGCACATCTTATTATTCCTATGTTACAAGTTGAAGACATTTAGAAGTCCTGAGTGCTGATGTGAATTGTCCAGGATCACAGTGAATCGGCAGCAGAACTGGGATTCTTAGCTGCTGTGTTGCTGGCCTAACATCTGTAGACACATCATCTTATCTGTTACCACATCAGACAGACTCCCTGATACTTTGTTTTAATGTGGACAGGACATGGGTTGTCTGATTCATTTGTTCATTTTCAGACTAGACAACAGCTAGCTATGGAACAGCAGGTGTAAAATAATAGGTGCCTAAAAAGGATGGAGTTTTCTGTATCCAGTGAAAATATTTAACAAAAAATAAAACATTCCTTTGTCTTCTGGGCTTGTTGGAGTCTCTTCTAGTGCCATATGCTTCTGAAAATGCCCATGTTTGTTCTCTCTCCTTATCTGGTATGCAGGGATCAGATGTTTCGGATGCAGATCCACAAGCTCTGCTAGAAACCCTGAAGGTAACTGAGTAAAATATTGATATTCTCAGAGCTTTGCTGAGTTGAAACTAACCTCTGACTTCTCTCCCAGTCTGTATTCCTGATTCTCCTAACCATGGTTTAACTGGCAGCCAGTCTTCCCGGATCTTTTCTTCACAGGCAACACTGTTGTGTCTTTGGTTGCATCTTAGTTTTAAGTACTGAAATGTACCATACATGAAAGGCTTGCAGCCTCAATCTTTGCTTTCCCATCTGTGTCCAGTAAAAAACCTCCTCCCTGGAAGTCACTGAAAACTGGGGAGACCAGCATGTTTGCTGAAGCTGACATGAAGAAGCTTTTTTTTGTGGCATGACCCTTACCTCTCCCTGGGGCCACCCCGGTGAGGTAATGTTGGGATCAAGCATGCTACCATTGCTTCTCTGGTTAGGAGCAGAACTAGAGCCAGACTGGGAAATAGGCCTGAAGTGAAGATCCACTTACCACCTTCTGGGTAAATCCTCCCCAGGCAGAGAGCAGGGCCTTGAGGTCTCCACCCCTGGGCAGCATATAAAAAATGGATCACATACCGCAGACCTGGTTTTACTTGACCTGTGTTAATGACCATGCAAAACTTCATATGTTCTCTACTGGCTGAGCTCCAGAGCCCTGGCTCAGCTCCTTGTGCTCCTGAATGTTCTGCTTATCTCCAGGATATGGACAATATGGAAGCTGATCTCTTAGGCATAAAAAAGCCTGGTTCTGGGCCTGGCAGGACAACTACAAAGAGTCCTGAGAAGACTGAGTCATCAAGAAACCCAGTAAAACCAGCAGGGAAGCTAACAAGTACTGAGAAAGGTAAGTGGGGATGCCTTTGAGTTTTCTTTCTGTACAGCTCGACTGATTTCCGATTGACTTGGCTTGAAGCTGTTGTGCACTGGGACTTTGAACATGGAGTACCCTCAGTGGCATGGATGTTCCTATGTAGAAAGATTATTTTGGCTACCTAGAAGCAGGGCCTCCAATATGGTCAGTGGATCACACTTAGGGACATTGCTAGTCCATGACCAAGTCTCTTGGATGTGGCGATCCTCACCCTCTAGAAACTCAGTTCTCTTGAATCTGCCCTTTGTATTCAGTAGCACAGAGTGGTCCCGACATTTTGCCCAGCTAAGGGTTATGCCCAGATTTCACCTAATTCTCTGTTTTAGAGGACTGTAGCTGTCTTCCTCTTAACACACGGGTACTGCCTCACCAGTCTGCTATCCCTTTATATAGCTTAATGCCTGCCTGTATGTGAAACCCCATTTCTGACCGTGTCAATGGCCTCCCTTTTGTGGCAGAGTTGGCAACTAGGATTGAAAAGAAAGTTCTTACCACTCCCCCGACCACCCGGCAGCAATATAAGAAGTTTTCCTTTGAAGGTAAGATCTTGCTGTAGCCCAAGTGGACAGGTGCAGCTATGCTCTCTCTATGCTTACTGTTTAACACCCTAATTTAAGGGGAAGGGTGTAGGGAGGCATCCCCTTTAGTGATAGGGTTGCTGGAAGAGTGGATGGCTAATAGGAATCAGAGAGGTCATCAGCTCAAATCTGGGCCAGGTCAAAGTACCATGAAGGTACCTGTGTGATGGGAGTTGCTGGTCTCCTTCAGCAGTTCCTAATAGGTCCGCAGTGTAAATGTTTTCATCAGGTTAGTGACAGAGAGGTCTAGCCTTAAGTAGGCTAGAAGCCCTGAGCTCCCTTTTGTTCCAGGGACGCTCTCCACATCAGGTGTCAGAGCCACAGGGCAGCTAAGACTCCCCTGTTATCCCTGCTGTCATAATAGAGCCGACTTCAGCTTCCAGGCACCATTTGCCAGCACCAAATTCACTTGAATTAAGTCCTGTGTTATACATTGCCCAAATGCCTCCGAATTATATCAGCAAGCATAAGGTAGGAGAGAGTGTACCAATTGGTCATGGAAATGCCAAAGAAACATCCCAGAGAGTAAGTGGGTGGTACGTGTGTATTTGTGAGGATCTCTTTTAGTTCATTTCTCTGTCCCTTCTTCCCTTCTATTCGCACAGCAGAGGATGAATCTAAAAAGCAACCAGGTAAGGGAATAAGTAAGTAATTAGAAAACCCAGATTTAAAAATAGCCTGCCTTGGGGCTATCTTTTTGTGCGATTTCTGTGGGCACTGTGTTTGGGTTTATGTTCCCTCAGACCTTTTTTAATTGATAGTTTCTCTCAGATCTTTGCAGGGATATGTTTTAGAAGGATAGTTCCTTACAAGCATTAATTTCTAATTTCCCATCATCCCTGCAGAGGAGGGAAGGAGGGAAAGATTATATCTGCTTTACACCTAACAAGAATGAGTCACAGCAGCCAGAGGTCACAGGTGTGGGAATGGGATCCAGGTCTCCCGACATCCCAGTTCTTTACTGTAACCAGAAGACTATGCTCCCTGTTACAAAGCCTGCTGAAAAGGGTAGAAAGCCTCTTAAGTAGCTTCAATGGGCTTTGGATTAGGTCAATAGGTGGCCATGTACAGGGATGAGGGGTGGAGTCAGGACGCCATGGGAGGGGTGAAGCCACCAGCGCTGGCCTTGGCCCACCCCTCCCCTCTTCCATCGTCACCACCACAGGACTGATGCAGGCCAACACAGTGGGGGTGTGGGGAGGAGCGAGCGCACCATGGTGGCGGTGTGGGGGGAAGTGGACATGGGCAGACGTGGAGAGGAGGGGAGTGGGCCTGGGCCCAATGTGGAAACGGGAAGGAGGCGTGAGCCTGGCCTGACATGGCAGGGGGAGTGGAGGAGTGGGCTACCTCCATCCCTCAGGCCCGGGTCCACTCATCCCCCACCCCTGTGTCTGCTCCGAGCCCTCTTCTGCCCTCCCCCTGATGCTGCAGCCCCCGAGCAGGCCCAGACCCCAAGCAGCAGGAGGGAAGAGGGGAGCGGGTCCGGATGGGGGGGCCACAGGACTCCATCTCTGCCCGCTCCACCCCCTCCCCATCATTCTTGACGGGCAATTAGCTAGTGTGTGTATATTAATATATCTACATTATAATATAAACGTGGGGACCAGACTTGCTCCCAGCAAATAGTGCTGTTGACTCGAGCAGAAGCAAAATCTAATTCAGGGGCGAGCAGTTATTTTGGGCAGAGGGCCACTTACTGAGTTTTGTTAAGCCATTGAGGGCCACATGACAAGCAGCCAGGGGCTGATAAATATTAATTTTCTATATTTTTTAGGGGCCCCGTGGGCCGGATAAAATGGCCTGGTGGGCCGCATCTGGCCCACAGGTCACATTTTGCCCACCCCGATCTAATTCGTACAGGATCCCCAGAATAAAGATGATAGATAGTCCATTCTTGGTGCATTGTTTTCTTAGAGCTAGAGTTCTTCCTCCAAATGACTCGTGTCTTTTCTTCCCTTCTTCTTTCCCTTTGGGATAATTCATAGATTTAGATGATCCTTTGACAGGACTTTTGTCAGATGAAGAGGAAGATGCTGCCAAGAAACTGCCTCCATCAGGCTCCAAAATTAGCCCTGAAAGAAACACTGGGCCAGCCAAAGGGAAAGGTAATTGGAAATACTGGAAATACACCCTGTCCCTTGAATTCGGTCCGAGTTGCTCAGTTGGATCAAAATTGGTCTTTCGTCTCCTAGGACTTGGGTTCAAATTCTGACATTATTCTAGCCCCAGACAGGCACTTTTTCACATTAGCAAGTTGGGGCGCATTTGGTATCTCTGTGGAGATTCAGGATTAGCAGAGTTAGGGGCCCTTGTGCCTAGGGCCACAGGTCAAGTTTGTGCTTTAGCTGGTAGAGCTGTGTCAGGGGAGAACATCCAGGATTCCTATAGCAGGAAATGCTGCCAATCATGTACCTTGGTGGAGGGACCCAGTCCCAGGGAGTACTACAGTTCAGGAGTGAAAAGCTCTGGCAAAGCTGGGGCTTCTGGGATATCTGGAGCTCTACAAATTGGGAGTTGAGGGGCTGTTAAAAATGTCTCACCAAGCTCTCCAGAAGACAGATAATCCAAATAAATAAAAGCATGGACCTCCTGCTTTGTCACTTCCCTTTGATTTGTGTTTCTGGCCCCAGAAGAATCATTTCTGCATAACCATGTAGAAGACCCCACCAGACTGTGCCTAGTGCCCTGTGGAGGATAAACTCATACTGGAATCATGACTGTCACTGCTACAACAGCTCTTGATTCTGTTTAACAGAGACATCACTCTCTTCGATGCCTGGCCACACAACAGCCCCCATGCGGAAGAAGGAAGAGCTGATGTTTGAAGATGATGCAGATGACCTCATGAGTGCCCTGGGGTTTGGCGAGAGTCTGAAGGGAGATCTGAAGCAGGAGAGGAAAGGGGAAGAGTAAGGCCTTTCCTTCTGTACACAAGGCTATTGATAGAAATGAAGCATTGAAACACTCCTGTGGGAGTTAGGCTTGGTTCCAGTCATGAAGTGCAGTGCTAGAAAGACTGTTATATTACCTCACATCTAAGTGGGTGCCTGAGGCATGAACCCCTGCTAGGGCCCTTGATGTTTCATTGGAGTTGTCTCTAAGTCAGGGGGAAAGGAAGAAATGGGGTAAAAGATGACAAAATACTGGAGTTCAGTTCACTATCTCAGAGCAGCAGGATTGATTTATTAAAATAAATAGTTAGCAGTATTCCCATTTGTCATTGTCATTATTAAGTCTTTGTACAGGGCCACGTTGTGCTAGGTTCCTTACAAAACAGATCAAAAAGGTAACCTGGCTGAGATATTTGAGGCTGTCTGCTCCTCTCAGTTACAGTTCTGGGCTGACTGCAGACTTGGTTGGGTTGAGTCACAGTTGTTGTTTTTTTAAATCATACGGGCAGAAATTTGAGGGGAAGATCCTCTTCCACCTATTAGCCTCCTAAATATGATCCTTTCCCACCCTGCTCAAGTCTCTGAGCAGTCACTCATGCAGAAGTTGGGTTAGTCCTTGCTGCTTTGGTGACCGGAAAGCACCTTACGGAAGTATGTAAGGTTGCTGGCTTCTCAGGGACTCCGGGAGGGTGGAATAGGAACCCACGTCCAATTAAACACCTTGCAGGTGGAATTGTGTCTGGCCCTTAGGGTTTTGAGAAAAATAAAGCAACAGCAGCAGCTTAGCTTCTGCAGAGAATGTCAATGTCCCGCCAGCTCCTTGATGCATCCTAACTCACCTGCCACAAGGTAGTGTTTCAGCCCTTTGCATCCCCTGCCATAGAAGTGTGTAACTCTTGGTGCTCTGGCAGAGAAGAGGTCCGCCCTGCCCGCTCCAAGCTGGATGAGTTGTTGGGACGAGGGACTTCAGCCAAACTCCTGGAGCGACCAGCCACGGGGGAACCAAAGGAGTTCAAACTGGATAAGAAATACCAGAAGCAGCCAGGTGAGGAAGATTTACTCTGGGAACTACAGCAGTGTCATGAGGGATATAATTGTGTGTGTAGTATTTTTATAATGGTAATATAATATTTATAATAGTATTTTTACAATGGTAAAAATCAGCATCTCAAATTATACCAGTATGAATGTCCTCCCGCACTTATTTCACTCAGAAAATCAGTATACCAGTAAAAGCACTTTTTCTTTCCTAGGCTAAGCCATGGCTGTGCTAGGAGGGCTTGCCATCCTTGTTGCTCAGCCCAAGTTTGTCTTAAGCCTTTAGATGGGCAGGTGTTGGCGTTGCCAGTAGTATTCTGTGCCAACTGTGGTTAAGATGGGTATGCTGTTTGGGGGAAGGGGAAGAGTTGCCCCATACTCTCCAATTGGTGCCCATGCACAGCTGTTCCAGTTACAGCCCTACCTCAAAGCTTCCCTAGTGGAGATAAGACCTGACGGAATACTAGCAAGGCTTCAAACAGGAGAAAGAGCACACGAGTATGATTGTGAGTGTTTGTGTGCTGCCTACTTACCCCTAGAGATTGATGTTCAAACACCTATTTAAACAGATAAGGAAGACATTTGGGGAGAGGAGGATTTCACCTTTGGTGCCTACCAACCCACCCTGGCCTCCACCCCAGAAGGCCGCCAGTCAAGACGTCAATCTGTCAGGTATAATTTTCATAGAGAAATACCCATGTCTGATGCCTTAGACATGCTGCCTCCACAACAGGAAGCTGGGGTCTGAAACCCTCTCTCAGGGGTGCATGTGTACGAGTCTTTCTGTTTTCAGGTTTTCGTCAGAGAATATCAGTGAATTGAAAACTGATCAAAGGTCCAAACCAGCTACTCCACCTACCAGGAGCCCCCTGCGAAGCAGCAAAAATGGGGCTGATTGGCTGGGGCTGAAAGATGAGGACTTCATTGATTTGGATCCTCTGTCTCCAACTAAGGACTCAGCCAAAGGTATTTCCACAGCATCCCCCTTGAATGTGCCATCAAGCCCCGCAGCTGCCAAGCGACCCAGCCCTGCCAGCCAGTCCCCATCTGGGACAAAGCCAGCAGCAGAGGAAGCAGCAGCTAGACCTGCTCCAACAGAGGAGGAAGATAACTGGCTGAATAACGCTCTGTCTCGGAAGAAAGCCCAGGTGCAGGGGAAGGTCAATGAGGAAAGTGCTGGGCCCTCAGGCCTTGTGGTGCAGGACAAAGATGCAGACCCCGTCTCTCACCCCAGGTAAAGAATCCCCTTCCCTCACCCCAATGAGCATTTCAGAGTCAAGTCCCATTGACTTCATCAGGGGCTTCTCAGTTATATAAGCGAAATTGATCCAGCCTTGTTCAGTGAGCTGAGTGCGAGTTATAGCAAAATGCCTTAGTCGGTTCCTTGACAGAACTCTTTCCAAATGTATAGCTATGGCCAGATTTCTCTTCAGGCATAACAACAGACGAGCAAGCAGGCTAGAAGTGAAGCATCCTCTTCGTATGCCGTCATGGTTTCCTCTAGGGTGCCTTTGCTCCCCCTGTCTGTGCAGCTGAATGGTTTGAAGAGAGCAACTGCTGATCACTCCCATAACTGGGCTGCCAGGGCTGGGATAAAGAGTTTGTTTTCAAATGAAGGAAAGGACCTTTATTCTCTGGTCCCAGACAGATGTATCCATATTCTGGGATCATTTACATTGATATATAAACCAATGTAAATTCTGCTGAGATCAAGAAGGGCCCAATGTGCAGCTATCCCAAGGTAGCTCATAGAGTAGGCAGCTATTACTCCATGCAGCAAAAGAGCAGATAGTAGCCTGTTAGCTTTTAGCAAGGCTACCCAAGGATGGACACACAAAGACAAAACCTAAACCAGTGTAATTTAGGCCTCTGGTGTTTTAACCCTAATTTTTCCCAGGGGGATAATTCTCTGGATTGGGTGAAGTTTACCTCAGTTATGGGTTTTCCTTGTCTACTTCCTTTTTTTATACTGGTGGATATTACATTTGTCCATGTCCTCTATCACCAAGGTAAGAGAATACCTTTGCAACCAGCAATGGGAGATTAGACCCCACCACTGGTGTTGTCCATTAGTATTAAGATTTTGTGTTCTCCCACTGAAGAGATGTTTGTTTTCAGCCAACCAGATGCCTCAGGAAAAGGACCCCAGCACCCTGCTGCATCAGAAGACAAGCCTATCAGGGTGGAAGAGCCTAGGTATGTCTCCTTCCTGCTGCTGATCTCCATTCTCCATAGAAACCACTAAAGTGAATGGAAATGCCTGGTGTCAAACACAAGCATTTAAAGCTGTGATCTTGAGCTCTGTAAAGCTGTGGTTTTCATGAACAGTGAGATGGGGTGCAGCAGCTTTAAGGAAAAAGCACCTCTGGCAGCTCTATTTCTTTCCTCTGCCCCTTTACACTGTTGTGTTGAGGAATGGACAGGCCTGGTGTTGTGCCATGTCATTGGGGCTTAAACTTGGGGAAACACAAAGTCCCTCAGGCTTACTAGAAAATGCCCCTTTAATTTCTCTCTGCTCCCCACACATCCTGCTCTGGGGCTGTGATGCTGCACCCAGTCACTCATCCATCTCCATCCATCCCACAGCTATCCCATTCCACGGCTGACCGCTCCAAAACATGACTTGTCTCTTGCATCTGAGTCCAGGAGAATGGCATCCTCAGGTGATACCAGCAGTGCCGGTATGTTTTGTCTCCCAAATCAGCCCAACTATTAAGCAGTGGTTCCTACCCCGTTTGGGGTCGCAACAATAAAAAATGGGGTTGCAGAGTCACTCGACAGTGTCGATCAATTATGATGAAAATCACAGAAAAAAGCAGGAAACGGCAGTTTCCCCTTGCAGGCTGGCTGAGACCCAGCCTGTAAGGGGTTGCTCGGTGCTGGAGGAAGTGGGAGGAGGGCGATCAGGCAGGGGGTGCTATGTGCGTGTGCACACATGCACTTGGCAGCCAGGCAGCATGGAGTGCAGCGCCCTCCAGATAGGTCTTTGGTGGGGGAGGGCAGATTGAGGGCCCCACAATGAAGGAGGGAGGGGTGGGGTTGGGGGCACTGACCAGCTGGGCCAGTGCATGGGTCCCAGGACCAGGGTGGGAATGTGGGACTCGGCTTTGGGAACAGGATGGATCCACAGGCAGCTCATCCAGGGGGCATCAGGGAGGCTGGCTCCCTGCTGCTGCATGCACTCCGTGGAAGAGAGCCATGCGGGGGGGAATGTGCCCCCAAGATTTATGCACTGAGCGGGGGTGGATGCGGGTTGCCTGCTGCAAGCTCAGGACTCCCCACCTGCTGCCTTCATGCCCACTGGGCTGTTAAGGCCCCTGGGGGTGGGTAGCAGGGTAGGGAGCCCTGAGCCTCCAGCAGGCAGCCTGCATCCTCCTCCCCGCCCCGCCATGGGCTTTGCTCCAACTGTGCTGCCCACAGGGGGAGGGGGCGTTGATCTTGTCTGCATCATTTTGGGGTTGCAAAAAAATTCTAGTGTTTAAATGGGGTGATGCTGAGGAAAAGGTTGGGAAGTGCTACACTTGGACCAAGAGAACCTCCTGGTTTCTCACAGATCATGCAGACTGTGGGGACAGGTGTGACTTGGCTTCCTTGGCTGGAGCTTATATGATGGTAGCCTGGTCCTCCCAAGACTGAAGTAGGGCATAGTCAGAGCTAGGAGAGCTCCATTTCTCGTGGGTCAGACAAGGAGTCCTGTGCCACTGTCCTTGCATACAGTGGCCTGCTTTCATTGCCACATCTGAACTTCACATGTGTTGAATTTTCAGGCCCTGCAGCTGCCTCCCAAGGACATCAGGAGGGTCTTGGCCCTTCCATGCTGACCCAGGTAGGAGTATAGCTCTACAGCACTGGAAACACATGTCTTAAGCACGTGTGCCCTTGGCTGTACAGCCATGGGGCAGGGGCTAAAGCACACAAGCTGAAATGGGAGTCAGCATCCTGAGTTATGGTCCCTGCTGCCTCCCTGATTTGTTAAGTGACTCAAGGCCCAGTCACTTGCATGCACTGTGCATCAGTTTCCTTATCGTTAGAAGGGAGGAAGGCATTCTTTTTTTCCTAAGAAGCTTGTGGGCTTTTAATTATCTTAATCAAGCTAATTGCTTCGCTGGTCTAATCCCACTGCCTAACTGGATGCAATCAATATTTTTTACATCTTTGAGATATTTTGAGTCCTACCTGGAAAATCTCAGTAATATAAATATACAAATATTATATTTTTTCATGAATAATGAGACATGAATCCTAGTTAAAAGCAGTTTGATAGTCTAGTTTCTCACTATTTAGATGTTTTGCATAAGAGAGTTCTTAGCAATTTCAGGGAAAAATTATCCAGTTTTTTAAATATGGGTGTGTCCAGCAAGTCTTGCTTGGCTTTCATCATCGAGGCTTCCCTGCATCCTGTGCTGTGGTGTGACTGCTGTGTTAGGGAATAAGGCTTATCATTCCCAAGTCCCTCTGCAGCAATGAGACAGGACAGAACAGCCCACCTTGCCTGTATGGGTGTAGGTGGGGAGTCGTCCTGTCTTCTGAGGCAGGGCCCTTGGAACTGCTTTCTTGGAAGAGAGCATCCAGCTGGGCAGTGGGATTAGATCAGAGGAGGCAGCCCCAGAATGGGGGAGCCAGAAGTTTAATGGCTGCTATCCAGGTATTGTTCCCAGAGCTGAGATGTTCCCCCACAGAAGAAGTACATGAGCTTTTCTTTCTATGGTTATTGTTGCAGGTTGTTGCATCTGGGGCTTCTCTCCAGCAGGCTGTACTGCAGCAACAGGTGAGGACAGCATACAGTTCCTCCAGTTGAGGAAGTAGCCTCCTCCTGAGGCAGAGCCATTCTAAGAGGGCTGTCTCATTTCCATTGCCCTTGCAGCTCATGCAATCCGAGCCTCTGGCCCTGAGCTTGTTGAACACTGGGGACTACGAGAAGAAGCTGGTGGCTCTGCAGGCACAGTTGCGGGAGAGCGTGGCAGGGTACCAAGCAGAGCTGCTCAGCACCCAGACTCACCTGGCACAGCTGGAGAGCCAGGTGAGAGGCATATGGCCTGCCACAGGGAAGGCCGAGACAGGAATGGTTCTCTTCATACCACACCAACTTTCCCAGAAGGGCTGGGCTGGGTATCAGCAACAGGCAATATTTTGCTCCCAAGTAGAAGTCATAGAACGATGTGGTTCATTCCTGTCCAGGGGGGTCACACAGAGGTGACAAGTCCATTGAGGGCAGCAGGGAGTGGGCCTGGACACCTTAATAGATACCCACCCTCAGACTTTCAACTCAACTCCTGCTTTCCTGGCACCTGCCTCCCAACCTGTCTCTATCCCAGGAGTGATCCAGGCAGTGATTTGCTCTTAGGGCAGGGGTGGGCAATTATTTTGGCTGGAGGGCTGCTTAATGAGTTTCGGTGAGCTGTCAAAGGCCACAAGAGTGGCCTCATCCCTTGACAAGTGCCCTACCCCGTGGTCGACATCTTGGAACTGTCCCTAACCCCTGACCTTTGCCACCAAAAGTCCCTCCCTTTGTCTCCAGAAGTACCCCTTTTAGGAAGGGGGTTTGCCATCTTGGAACCCGAGAAAAACCCGAAATTATTTACTAAAAATCAAACATCCACAATAATATGTTTAAATTTAATTTAAAAAAATATTTTGTCCTGATTTGTGTGTGTTTGCATTGTGTATATAGAGGTGATTGCATAAGAGCTCAAAATGAAATCTTATTCTTACATATTGGCGGGGTGCGGGTGTGTGTGGGTGGGTATGGGGTTTGTGGGGTGTGTGGAGGGGGAGGGTGGCTGGGGGTTTATGTGTGGGTATATGTGTGTGGTGGAGTGTGTGTGGGTAGCAGTGAGCAGGGCTCCCCCCAGAGGCACGTGGTTGTGGGGGAGGATGTAAGACGTGGTGTTTGTGAGGTATGTGACTGTGTGTGGGGGAGGGTGTGGTTGTGGGGAAGGATTTGAGGGTATGGTGGGGTGGGCATGGTAGCCCCCCTGTGCACATGCCCCCCCTGAGCCAGTCAGCACCCACCCCACAACAGCCTGGAGTCCACACACCCAGCGGTGCCTCCCCACCAACGCCAACAGCGCACAGCCCCAGCGTGCCCCGTGCCTGCTCTTTACCTCTCCGCCGTGGCACGTCCTGACTACGGACACACAGTGGGGCTGGGGCAGCTTCACAGCTGGACTGCCTTTCTAGGCAGCCCGGGCAGCAACAGCTCCTTCCATCTGCTGTCGCCAGTGTCCCCGGCCTCATGGTACCAGCGGAGACCTGCACTGTGCCGCCCAGCCATGGTGCATCCTGCCACCCCCTGGGCACGCAGGGGTACAGCAGGGCTGGAGGCAGTGGCAGCAACAACCGAAAGGAGCCACCGCTGCCCGGGCTGCCTCTAAAGGCAGACCTGCCACAGACCTGCCCCAGCCCCGCTGTGTGCCCAGGGGGTGGCAGGATGTGCCACGGCCAGGCGGCACTGGGGTCAGGTAGAACCAAGGGACCCACTGTGGGCTGGACAAAGCCCCTCTGTGGGCCGAATCCAGACCACAAGCCATATTTTGCTCACCCGTGTATTAGGGGGATCTGACTGCAGGAAAAAGAAGTTTTCCTTTGTGTATGCCTGATTTTTTTCAGGTGCGGAAACTGGAACTGGAGAGGACTCAGCAGAAGTTGCTCCTGGAGAGTCTGCAGCAGCGACACCAAGAAGACTTGGAGCTCATTGAGAACGCGCATAGGTATCACGGTTGTCCACCTACCTTCATTTGTCCACATGGGTCTTGCCACAGTATCCCCAGTGTGCCCAGTCCCCAGTTCCCTGCTCTGTGCACAGCACCTGGCCTGATTCTGTAGTTGAAGCATTGACCATTAAGTGGGCATTCAAAACGCTACCTCCAGACTCTCCATTGACTCTCTGAGTTACTTTGAGCAAGTCATGTAACCTCTGCTACTGTTGGTCCATCTTTTGATGGGAATCACAACACTGACCTATGGAAGGGGCATCATTAAGTTAATAGCAGTGCTGTTGCTTGCTGTCCCTAGCTCTGCCACCAACCAGTGGATGCCTTGGATCATCACTCACTAAATTTCCCTGTGCCTGAGTTTTCCCACACTGTAAAATGAAGCTAATGGTACCAGTCTTCTTTGTAAAGCACTTCGATATCAACAGAGGTTAAACCCTTGGCAAGAGCTGCATGTTGCCATTAAATCAGCAGCCAGATTCCTAAGCTCGCACTCACATTTGAGTTCTGCATTTAAAAGCAGATCCTTAAGCCAGGCTTTTCAAGCCCTAAGCATCTACTAGTGCCCATGTACCTTGGGAACAACTTCCACAGCCCGTAGGGGTTTCCTTTCAGGAGTCGTGTGAAGATGGTGGAAGACTCCTACCGTCAGCGCGAGGAGAGGCTGCGGCAGGAGAACGAGCAGCTGGCAACACGACTCCTGTCCCAGTGCCAGAGTGCAGAGCAGGCCAAGGCTGAGCTCCTGGCCCAGCATCAGCGCCGACTGGCAGAGCTAGAGCAAGAGAAGGTGCAAGAGGTGGAGAGGCTGAGGGAGTTGCAACGGTAAGGGAGGTTGTGGAAGGGACAGGCAGCCAGCCTAGAAGAGAGGGGCAGGGCCTGACCTTCACATCCCCGAGGAGTCAACACTCTTGGAAAGGGATTGAAAAAATGGTGGAGCCGACGGAAGTGGGTTCAATTGGGGCCAAGAAATATTAGGCTAATTTGACGGTATAAGTAACAACATCGGCCGTGCTGCACAGTGCCCTATAGCACTTGTTCCCCATATTATGGGTTATGCAGTTACCTGTGAGCATTTGGCCCTCAATGCGAGGAGGCTGAGGAGGCATCTCTCACCTGCCATGGCCTTTATCTGGCCTGTGCTGTCTGCAGCGTGTGGCCTGGGGCCTGGTGTTGACTTATGTGAATAACGCAACCTGAAAAACCTTTTTTAAAAATAAAAAATGAAAATTGTTTGGGGTCAACCTGACATGAAACTGGTTCAGTTTTCTCAGGCAAATGAAGAATGGAAAACAAAAAAAATTCTTTGCACGTTGACTAGAGTTGTCCATAACAGATTTGTTTTCTAAACTTTTAATACCTTTAAAAAAACTAATTTAGGCAAATTTGGTCTCAAAGTGTCGTTTCAAAATGAAAGATCAAAGTGCCTCGTTTCAAAGCTGTTGAAGCAAAATCTTAGGAATTTTTCCAATTTTTTTTCCGTTTTGCAAGTGAAGTAATTGGCTGAATCTGGCACAAACATTTATTATAGTTTCAGTAAACCCAAAATTGCATCTTTTGGTGAATAAATTATTCATCCAAAAATGCTCTCCCAGCTCTAGCCAGGACTCCAAATCACAGGGACTTCCCTCCACAAAAAGAGCCTTTGGGTTTGCTCAGTCATGACTTTCTACTGGAATCCTCCTCTACTCTTCATACCTTTGGTGGGAATCAGTAGATTTCTCCCAAGATTTTCTTTTGGGAATGAGATGTCTCTTTGGAGTCACCCAGTGACCATTTGCAGTTGATCTCACCTGGAGCCAGAAAACAGATCAGTGTAAAAGCTGCTTTAGTTCAGCTTTTGCTGTCAGTTTACCTGGGTTCAGACCATGGTGGTGAGAACCATGTGATTCTTTATCCTGCTTCATATGGAACATAAGTAGCAAAGTGTTGGTAAAGGTGTCCTTCCCTCTGGGTCCTACAGGGTATCCGTTTTGGAAATGTGCAAAGACCACGAAGAGCAGCTACAGAGGCTAAAACGACTGAAAGATCAGGAGATTGATGCAGTCACCAGTGCCACTTCCCATACCAGGTACCATCTACCCCATCCACATAGCTTTGGTTTTCCGGCAAGATTTCCCCCTTTTCCCAGTCCCTGTCCCTTTCAGAGTGTGATGGAGATTCAGTTTCTCTTCCTTTTCTCAAGGAGTTCAGCTAATCCTTCCTCTTTGTGTTGGGAGTCTCTCAAAAGCAGAGCTCCTTTTTGGAGCTGGTATCATATAGACTTCCCTAAAGGTGGCTACCCTTCAGAGGGTGCTTAAAGAAGGATCATGTCCTCCTGAGCTGTTGAGTGACAGTCCCCAAAGTGAGTGGTGGTAGTAGGTGACTGGAGGGCTGGAACATAGGATGGACCCCAACAAGGGTAGTAGAACATGAGATGCTGGGGATGTGGCAGGGCATCTGAAAAGGAGTGATTGGCTCAATGACCAAGGTGATCTTGACTTGCAAATTTATCACAGCCCATAAATCTGAAGGTCTCGCCCTGACCCCAGGGAGAAAACAGTCACTCTCATTTGCTGCCATTGAGAAATAAGGATCAACTGACCAGGGGAGGTTCAGGATAGAGCTATAATTGCTGAAATTTGTTGCCCAAGGAATCTGATCTCCCTTTTCCCCAGAGCCATACTCAGAATTTGACTCATTGTTTCAAAACTGATCTTCCTAGCCCTCCTGGTGTGAGAGTCACCTTTAAAAACATGAACCTGTGCAGCTACCATGTGACCAAGATGCTGCCTTTTTTCTCTTTCAGGTCTCTGAATGGTGTCATTGAGCAGATGGAGAAGTTTTCCAGTAACCTGAGTGACCTCTCCCACAAGGTGGAGGTTACACATCAGAACACATCACAGGAGCTTGAGGTTGGAGCCCGGCAGCGAGATGAGCAACTCCGTGGTACCAGCCTTCTTCTCTAGCACAGCCATTAGTACTATTTATATTATGTGATCCTCCTTGACCCCAACACAACTTGTAGTGGCAAGGCAGGCAGGCACAGGAACAGATGGTCACTGCCCCAAGCAGCTGATAGTCTTAAAGTTGGGGGTGGGGATTACTGTAGTGTCTCAAAGGTCTTGTCATGAACCGAGACACTCTTTATACCAGGTGCTGTGCAAACACAGAATAAGGAGATGGTTCTTTTTCCATTTTACGGGCTGGGAACAGGCCCAGAGAGAAATTGAATGACTTGCGAGAAAGTCAGGAGCAGAATCCTGACTGGCTACATCCCAATCAGGTGTCCTTCTTCATAATGTGTTGACCTCTCTGCAGAAAATGGCAGTAGCTCAACAAGGATTATACCCAAGGGCAAATGAGAATGCAACAGCCAAAGATGTTCTAAGCTTAAAGCAGCTTCTCCACATACATGCTGCAAATAGACAGGCTTTTTGCTGGAGGTGCCATGCCAGCTTGTTCAGACTGAGGGACACTTCCTCAGATGTTACAGACCAGCCCAATTGCAATGGAGTCAAGGGATAGACACCAATTCACAGCACTTGAAGGCTCTGGCCCTAGAGTGGATACAGAGGTGCCTTATAGTAGACCATGATATTACCCTGGGAACCCCTGTAGGCTTCCCTAATGTGACTCTTTTCC